AAATAAATATGTAATCTGTCCAGAATTGCCCATGCAACTGTAGTTGTGGGTAGTGCCTGGAGTTTGGCTTAGGGTAGTGAGGAAACAAGCAGATTTTCCTATATGAAGTTAGTCCATAGTCAATTTGCCACCAGCAGCAAGAACCTACTATTCTACAGCCTTCTCCTCTCATGATCTTTGCCAATTATGTATGGAAGTGCATGAACAAGAAACCGGAACATAGAACCAGTAATTCATTGTTTAACAAACTAAATGCCCACATGGCTGGCCGTTGTTATTTAATCAACTTTATTTAACCAAATAAATGCTATTTCTGGCAGTTACTACTTTGCACTTTCAAAATGATTTAACTATGTAATCTGTCCAGAATTGCCCATGCAAATGTAGTTTTGGATAGGGCATGCAATGTGGCTTAGGGCAGTGAGGAAGAGAAGCAGCTTATCCTATATGAATATTTAGTTCATAGTCAATTTGCCACCAGCAGCAAGAGCCTACTATTCTGTAGCCTTCTCCTCTCATCATCTTTGCCTTTCATCTATAGAGGTGTGTGAACCGTAAAGAGAAATATTGGCCCAATAATTCACTAATCAACCAACTAAATGCTCATGTGGCCAACATACTGTTGGTGTAGCCATTGCTTTACCATGGTGTTGGTTCAAGCTCCTTTGGGAATTTATGGAGTGTGCTCAGCCCACATGGCTGAAGCTAAGCTGTGTCTTTTTATCTAACAGAACTATCCCTGTGGTGTGCACACATATAATATGTATGCTCCTTGAACATCTTGCTGTGTAGAAAAGCACTCACCAATATAGATGGATGGAACAGCAATCACAAGCAGGAGCCGTTTTTACTTTTACTCAACTTCTTGCATGGATGATGCACCCTGAGGACATAAACGAATAACACCCAATAAATGGCTAGGATGTTTCTAAATCTGCCAAAAAACATGACATGAATGATGCCATAAGGAAAATACTGTCTAAAAATGAAGATATGTCTGAAAATCTCTCCAATCTCTAAAGATACCTTTTAAATGAGCATATGAAGTTATCACTTGTGGAATCTCCACTGTGTGATCATGGTGAAGGTATAGAAGGGATACCATAAAATCAATGTTCTGCTATACTACAACTTGAATATTTAACTTTACAGATCGGACCAAACATATACTGGACTAGTGGGGAAATATTATAACCATAAAGATTATTCATTAACTTTTGTAGAATAGCGGACGTCATCAAACAGACTATAAGGCAAAAAGAGAGAGGGGAACTGTACAGGTGAAACTCGAATAATTAGAATATCATGCAAAAGTGATTGCAGTAAGTGCTGCAAAAGGGGCCCAAACCAAGTACTGAGTACATATGCATGCTTGTACTTTTCAGAGGTCCGATATTGTTCTATTTACAATCCTAGTTTTATTGATTGCATGTAATAATCTACTTTTTTGAGGTTGTGGATTTGGGGTTCTTGGGGTTTTCATGAGCTGTAAGCCATAATCATCACAATTATGACAAATCACGGCTTGAATTATCTTGCTTTGCATGTAATGAGTCTATCTCATATATTAGTTTCACCTTTTAAGTTGCATTAGTGAAATAAATGAACTTTGCACGATATTCTAATTATTCGAGTTTCACCTGTATGTCTGACTACAGGCGGTTCCGGGTTACATACAAGATAGGGACTTGAGGTTTGTACTTAAGTTGAATTTGTATGTAAGTCGGAACATTTTTAAAGTGTAACTCCAGCCAAAAAACATTATTTAGTTTTGGATAGCATAGGGAAGGGTTACATTTGTTTTGCTGCCTGTTCCCCTTGTTCAGAAGATTATAATATAATTAAAAACATTTTTTTTATTTAAAATTACACCAAAAAAGTTTTTTCTATTTTTAATTTTATTTTATAAACTTTACTCTTTTTATTTGTTTGCATTTTTTATTTTTATTTATTTAACTTTTTAAAAAAACATTTTTTGTCTTTTTAATCTTATGTTTTTCTTTTTTAAACTTTTTTTATTTTAATTTTAGATTGCAATAGCCAATAGCAGGCTGGCTATTGCATCTGTCCACTGCCTGCTGTCAATCAGTAGAGGAGGAGCCTGAAGGAGAAAGTTCTCTATCAGGTCCTCCCATGCTGATTGACAGCAAGCAGTAGGCGGGTGCAATAGCCAGCTATTGCAATAGCCAATAGCAAGCTGGGTATGGCTCCCAGCCTCCAATGAAGAGGAGGCAGGGGGGGCGGGACAGCGAAGGAGCAGCCGGACCGGGACAGCGAGCGGAGGATGGTCCGGACCTGGTAAGCCGACGGATCGGCGGAAGAGGAGTCGGGACATCAACAGAGGTAAGGGAGGCAGCGGCAGAATGCAGCGGTCTGTGTCCAAGCTGCCTCCGCCGACACAGGCGGGGGGAGCAGCGGGGACACAGGCCGCTGCAGCCACAGTTCTGTGGACCCGGTTCGTAAGTACGGATTGTCCGTAAGTCGGACGTCCGTAACCCGGGGACTGCCTGTATACTACACACAACTGGTCTACAGTTAAGGTCATATGAGTAGCTTGGTCATGTAGTTTGTAAACCTTAATCCTCAATGTTTCACGTTATCCAAACAATTTCAACAAATTCAACCTGAAAGCAATAAAGACTCTGTTTTCTCAGTGCTGCAGAAATTTTAATAATGGGGTTTCGTAACAAAAAATAACAAGCAACCTACCTATAACTATATTCTAACAGCACTGTATTGAAGGTGAAAATTGCAGTAAAAACCGTTATTTCCTTTTCATAAGTGCAAGGCAATTTATGTTTCATTTTTGAATAAAACATTGAGTTCTTTTTTAATGCCCTTACAAGCAGTTATCTATTAAACAATACTATTTTCGCCCTTTTTTCACAAGAGAGTTGTTCACTTAAAATGCACTAAAACGTTTTCATGATACATTTCAAGATGCATGAACAAAGAGCTTCTTATCACGTGCAGTAAAGACAGGGGTGGATGATTTGTAGGGGCATTGTCAGCCCCTCATAGACTGATATCTTGTATAGAGTTTTTATTTATTACTTTAAAGTGACACTTAACTCAGGAGGTCAATCTTAAAAATACATTCAAGTACCTTCACTATTAACAAAAAATGTATCTTATTTGTGTATCACTCAGCTGTAAATCTTCAAATCATCTCTGAATTCATGCTGACTTGTCCCTTCTTCTGGAGGGTGGCTACTATTGTTCCCCATGCTCACTCCTGTGATAGGCTAAAATCTCATGTTTAGTTTACTAATTTGTATTAAGATTGTAGTCCATCACAGGAGCGAGCTTGGAGCGGTGACTACTTTACACCACACATAGGGACCATGGGGAACAATAGTAGCCACCCTCCAGAAGAAAGGACAGTGTCAGCATGAATTCAGAGATGATTTGAGGATCTGCAGCTAAATGATACACAAATAAGGTCCAGTATTGTTAATAGTTAAGGTACTTGAATGCATTTTTAAGATTTAACTCCTGAGTTTAGTATCAATTTAAGCTCTTCTTGGAAAAACAGCTCCAAGCCTCCATTGATATTTTCTGTATTAGAAGAATCAGCTCCTGTTAGCAATGGTTTAAACATAGTTGTCTTTTTAGAAAAGTTTCTTTTAATAGGTATTAAGTACATAAAAATAAACATAAATGACATAATACAATTTAGTAAATACCTGAAAGACCTTATTATTTGCTTTCTATAAATAGCAGTTTTTAAAATAGTGAAAAGTGACAGAAAATGAGCCATTTTATAACCAAGGACATGCAAAGTGTAAACTGCGGTAGCCATAGCACCAGTCAGATTTCACCTATCATACAGATGAGTGAGCCATGTTCATTGGTTGGATGGTCATTATAGCATTAGAGCACCTTATATTTTTTTCCTTTTGGCCTTGTTAAATAAACCGAGGTGTATATTGTCTCTTACACTGTACTTGATGACATATTTAGTCATTCCTTAAATATTTGCGCAATGGAGACCCACTGCAAGAGCACTCGGGAAATGTATCATTCCATTACATGTTTCATAATCATCATTAGGCTGACAGATTTACCATAGATCACCTTGCCCTTTTTATCACGTTGGACCTGCCAGTTAAGAAACAGGTTTTCTAGACTAGTACGTCTGTGTAGGTGTGTCCCTCTACAGATTGGTATTTTAAACTTATATCGCTATGTTTGGTGTCCACAAAGACAGGTGTGAGGAAGCAGCTAACATCTCTGTACAGAGCACTTAGCTGTCAGAGGGAATAATGGCATCCACAGGAATACAGGTGCCAGGCAACTATGAAGTGCCCGACATTCCCTATGGATTTGGAGTTTTTAGAACATTACCCTACGCATTTATTCCATTAGAACTGGTAAGTTAACCACCTATCCATTTTTAAAGGGTCTTTGCTTCATAGATTATTAGCACACATAGAACACAGACTAAGGAATCTCATACATGTCCTAACAGATTAGCAGACTGCCGGGCTGACATTTTTGGCTGTCACAATTAAACATTCTAAGTGTACAGCTTGGACAGAAGGTATGTAAGTTAATAGATTTTTTTCTGGTCTTAAACAAGCAAATTTAATACAAGCAAAAAAGATCTTCATCCTAAATTATTCTTGCAATACAATATGATTTTTGTATAAAATGTACACTGTGTAGTGCTATCATTGCAAGATTATGCACCAGTAGGGTATATGATTTCAATATAGGAATGATCCACATAGCCGCTGTTCATGGGGGCAGGTCTGTATTTTGCATGGTAACATAGTCATTAAGGTCTAAAAGACCCAACTGGGAAATATTGTAGAGTTGGAAATAGAGGAAGGGGACTAAGGAGGGGAGATTATTCATACTTTTATATCCTCTTGAGTTAACTAATCTCTTTCTTTTATTAGGAATCTTCCTATGAGCATGTTCTATGTGTTCTTGTGCAGCACACACTACATAGACCATAGGTTCTATTATTATACCACAATTGTCATGCTTAGCTGTCAGAGGGAATAATGGCATCCACAGGAATACAGGTGCCAGGCAACTATGAAGTGCCCGACATTCCCTATGGATTTGGAGTTTTTAGAACATTACCCTACGCATTTATTCCATTAGAACTGGTAAGTTAACCACCTATCCATTTTTAAAGGGTCTTTGCTTCATAGATTATTAGCACACATAGAACACAGACTAAGGAATCTCATACATGTCCTAACAGATTAGCAGACTGCCGGGCTGACATTTTTGGCTGTCACAATTAAACATTCTAAGTGTACAGCTTGGACAGAAGGTATGTAAGTTAATAGATTTTTTTCTGGTCTTAAACAAGCAAATTTAATACAAGCAAAAAAGATCTTCATCCTAAATTATTCTTGCAATACAATATGATTTTTGTATAAAATGTACACTGTGTAGTGCTATCATTGCAAGATTATGCACCAGTAGGGTATATGATTTCAATATAGGAATGATCCACATAGCCGCTGTTCATGGGGGCAGGTCTGTATTTTGCATGGTAACATAGTCATTAAGGTCTAAAAGACCCAACTGGGAAATATTGTAGAGTTGGAAATAGAGGAAGGGGACTAAGGAGGGGAGATTATTCATACTTTTATATCCTCTTGAGTTAACTAATCTCTTTCTTTTATTAGGAATCTTCCTATGAGCATGTTCTATGTGTTCTTGTGCAGCACACACTACATAGACCATAGGTTCTATTATTATACCACAATTGTCATGCTTGTAAAATAATATATATATATATATATATACAGTATGTATATATATATAATTTAAAAAATGACATTTATCATGTAAACTCAGGACCATGGACATCCAACATTGCCCATATTTATCACTAAAATAGAATCAGTAATATACATTTTTTTTCATCTGTCATTGTGTTCTTTAAAGTGAATCTGTGATCTGAGAAATATGAAGACCATCCATTGCTGATCTTTCTTTATAATAATGCTAGGGGTCTGGCTCCCATGCTGATTCACTGGCTTCAGCACTTTGCGAGTCACTGACCTTGAGCAAGTATACAGATAAGGAGTTCTGACTTTGTTGTGACTTCATTGTTTGCATGCTTATTCCAGACAGCGAGGATACTAGCAGTATCAGAAGGAAGACATCATTGCTCTCTATGGGGATGATTTACTAAACGCAAATGGTCTGTTTACTTTGCAAGGGAATTTGAACTTTGTATGGGAAGTTTCACGTAGCTTAGTGAATGAGATGAAATTTCACTTTGGAAAGAATGTCCAATCATATGCAAGGAAAATAAAAAGAAATAGTGTTTGTGCTTGCACATGACTGGGTGATGGAAGTCAGCAGAGCTTCTCCTCATTCACTAAGCTAAAGGGAAAATTCCCTTACAAAGTGAAAAGTCTATTTTGCTTTAATAAATCAACCTCTATGTCTCTTAGTACAGGTTTACTTTAATACTTGTTAGAGAGTGTATCATCAGCGTACACATCCTATCCAGAGTCAGAGTACACATCCTCTGAAGTTCTTTTGGAAGGAATACATGAAAGGACCTTTTTGGATAAATCTGTTTGAGGCTTCATTCTTGGGAGGTTTTCACTTTCAATGGTGGTTGGTCTGGGCACATACGTGCATATAAAAAATATACGTTTCTTTGGGGGAAGATTAAGGAATGCCATACACAGCTCGGTATTTAACCAGCTTTTGTGTCTTACATTTTTAATGCTGTCCTAATGAGGAGAATCTGCTGTAGGGGATAACATAAAGAAGATGAGCTGCAGAGTCAGACGCAAAAGATGGTGCGGGCCAAGTCCGTTTGCTTCTAAACAGTCTTTCTCCTTATGACAATATAGGGACTTGGTGGTCTCAGGAATCATTCCAAAATACAAAAAGAGAGTGAATGATTGATGTGAACACAGCCTCATCTTATTCACTTTGTATAGTCAACATTCACTTTGCAGAGTAAACAGTCTCTATTCCTTTAGTAAATCAAACTTGTCTACAGGTCTAAGGTAATTTTTTCTTCAGATAGCCAAGAAAGTATCTTTACAAAGTGACAATAGATATTGCATGCCAATACACACCCTAAATACCTGTAATATTGTCAGGTTTAGATGACACTAGAGGTGCTGGAAATTTGTCATGGACACATGATATTGTTCTCCCCCATCAGGTCAGAAATAGTATTAATCATTCCAGTTCTTCTTTTTAACATATACATATATACTTGCAAAATATCAGCCTGCATATGTATGGGTATGTTGGATGAGAAAAGTTTCACTGGTTGCACCATTACCTGATATCCAAAGGCACTCCTATGTCTACTTTATGAAACACTGGGGTTGATTTACTAAAGGCAAATAGGTTGTTCACTTTTAAAGGAATTTTCCTTTAGCTGAGTAAATGAGATGAAGCTCTGCTGACTTTTATCATCCAATCATGTGCAAGAAAAAATACGGTCTTTTTTTAATTTTCCATGTGATTGGGTATTCTTTGAAATGTTACCACATTTACCAAGCTAAGGAAAACTTATCTTGCAAAGTAAACAACCGATTTACCTTTAGCCCTGGTTCACACCTAGGCGTATTGCATATGCGCGTCTGTCGCACGGTATTTTTACCGCGATTCGTGGTAAAAAAATCGCTCGACAAACGCGCGTTTCCGAGGGCTACTTGGCTGTATCCCAATGGAAACGGGCAACAAAAACGGCCCAAAGTAGTACATGTACCTTTTCAGGCGTGGGCCGTTTTGTAGCGCGTTAGGGACGGGCTGAAATACGCCAAGGTGTGAACCAGACCCATTGAATACAATGGGATTTAGATGTTTGAGCGTTTTGTAGAGCGTTCATCGAGCGTAGAACGCGCTACAAAACGTTCAGGTGTGAACGAGGGCTGAGTAAATCAACTGCACTGCATCTAGTGTCTGTCTGGAAAGAGTGTAAGGATAATGTAGTATTAAACAGGCCTCCAGTTTGTATGGCACAGCTAATATAGATGACAGGGAAACCAAAGGCAATCCTGAACATTAGTTTATAGAAAAAAATCAATAGCCCCAAAATTCCTCTGTGACCACACCTGAAGAAGGTTCGGCCAGTAAAGAATTCATTCACAATTGTAACACAGTGCCAGTTTTGGTATTTACTTACTTAAGCATGTTATTGTGCTTTGACAATAGGTGTGTAAAGTGTATGTGGCTTTTCTCATTCCATCTTAAGTACCTCATTAGATATATAGACAAGGTTCACTTGCATGTTAAGCCAGGCAGCAATTACACAATTTGTCGTTTAATATTGTGTATTTAGCTGCAGTGATTTATAAAGTAAATTCAAATGTTCTGTACTTTCCATTTAAGAGAAAGCTGTCATTAGGAAGGGGCAGTTGTGTCATTTAGTCTAGAGTCTAATGTTCTATTGACTTCTTTCATAGCAAGAACCATGATGGTAGTGCGCAGTCCAGAGGATCCAGGGTTCTAACATTCTCCATTAATTTACACTCATTGCACCAATACCACCAATTATGCTGAATTAGCTAGAATTCCTGATAGGTTCTGTGATTATAGAAGAGATATTATAGGACTCTGGTTCTCATTTTGCATTGGTCACAAGAGGGATTTAGTTATACCCCTGGCATCAATGTACATTGTTGGTGAAAATGTAACTGCCTTGCACTCAACATGGTGAAAACATTCTTCAGAGTCAACACATCAAAATTGTAGTATGCACTATATTGTATTTGTAGTGTAAAATGAAACAGATGGAGAAAAGCTGTACTGTTGGGAATTGGAACCAGTTTTGCACATATAGGGTTATGTAAACAAAAAAAGTGGGGTTATTGCATTGTGCAAACAGCTGATTGCCACATCAAACATCATGACATGGACTTAATGAGACCCTATAAAGCAGAATCAGGAGACTGAAGTTTGCTAGTCATACTAGAATTCCATAATGACTCGCAAGTCATTATTTAATCATGAGTTAACTTTGCAAACTCCCACCCACCTTTGAAGAGGTGTGTTCACTAAGACCCACCTGCCATTACTTTGTTGCATGTCTTGCTTTTACATAGTGTTCTATTCATAAACATTTGCAGGGCCGCTCACCCTGCGAATGCCTGTAAACATTTGTTCTGTGACGATGTATGCCAAAAAGAATGTTATTTAGTTATTTCTGTACAAGGGAATGTATTTTCAAATATTATTTTCATGTAATATCACATTATTGCCACTAAATGAGGAGAGTAGCATAGAAAATACTTATTTCCTATCATTCTTTAGCTCCATTTAGTGATCATAAAGCAATATTACATGAAAACATTCGAAAATTTATTTCACTTATAAAGAAAAAAATAGAAGAACCTTCGCTTTGGCATATATTCTAACAGGGTAACATTCACTCTGTGGATTGTTTATATATAGACCCCAAAGTGATATCCACTAATTGCATTGGGTGCTTACCTTTATTTATTTATTTATTTTTATAGTGCGGACAATTTTACGCAGCACTTTACATATTGCACTTTCAAACCAATCCCTGCCCTCAAGGAGCTCACAATCTAAAGTCCCAATCCCACATGCATACATACAAGGGCCCACTTTAGAAAGGAGCCAATTAACCTACCAGCATGTCTTTGGAGTGTGGGAGGAAACTGCAGTACCTGGAGGAAACCCAGGCAAGCGCAGGGAGATCATGCAAACTCCTTGTAGATAGTGATCTGGTGGGATTCGAACTGGGACCCCCAGTGCTACAAGGCAGAAGCGTCTGTATATTGACACCCGCAAAGTGCTTACTGCCTGTTAAGGCAGCTTTAATGCTTTCATAATAGTGCATATCTTTCAGGTTCCTGTACAGTGATAGTAAAGCCACTGACCCCAAAAACATTTTCTGGGCTACGTATTTCATAAGAATATGTCTCCTACATTCGTATTGTTAATACACTCTAAGGACATTTTCTATTAGTGCACTGGGCTGTCACAGTACTCAGTACATGTTTTTATTTAAACTTAGGGAAAACTGAAAAATGACAAAGCATAAATATTGTGTTGTAATTGATGTGTCTTTTTGTTACATAGCTGTAGCATGTTGACACAACAGTGTTGATAGCATTTTTAAGGTCATAGGGGTTTTCATTTATTGTTA